ATGTATATATTCGACATAAACAATTGTTATTCTCCATCAAATTTTAAATCTAAATATTATTATATATATTTTAAAAAATTATATATTTTTATCAGCATTTTTACATTTCTAAATATTGACAAAATGTGATATTGCAAAAGAAAAAGAGTTAAAAATAAGCCAATACATATTGATAATAAATTATGTAATTATAAGGAATATAAATTATTAGTATTAAAGCCAAGCATGGTTTTACTGGCAAGGCTAGAATAATAAGTAATACTTAAATACAAATAATATTATAGCCTCAATTAGGCAACCATTTTGTAAGAGGCTTAATTCATGTTTAAGCTCTCAGCTCTCAGTTCTCAGCCCAAACTGTTTGCGGCTCGAGATTATAAGAGAATTATATTGTTTAATAATTAAAATAAGTTATGTTCTCTGCTACAGTGGTTCCTCGCTTATAAGAACGTTGCGTCTGCAGCGATGATAATAATTTGCGAATAATATTTATTGCTTAACAAATTTTTGCAAAATAAAAATTATGATTATAATTTATATTATATAAATATATTAATATTAATACATATTATATATATTATATATATATATATACATATATATATATATATATATTATGATTATATGTTATATTACTTAAATAAATTGATTTAATTTATATTATATAATATATAAAAATATATATAAAATATATAAAAATAAAACTGATTTTGACGACCTTTCCGTTTTTAAAATATTTTATTAGCTGGTTCGAGTTTCGGGCTTAGTTTATTTATTATTTACTTCATAAAATATATAAAAACAAAATTGTTTTCATCTTTTTATTGATATTAATTAAACTTGATGCCAGCTAATAAAATATTATATATTATTTTATTTTATAATATATTATTTATTTAATGCTATTTGCAAGCATTGACCACTTTTTGTATTTGAAATTATTTGTAAAGATATTACAATATAAATGTTCTCTACATTCATAATCCAGTTCTTGGAACATTATAAGATTATGATAATTCTGATAAGTGGGTATATAATAAAATATATATAATATAACTACAATTTAACTATTGAGCTTCCATTGTATTTTAAATATTATTTTACATTATTTAATTCAATATGGAACAAAATTATAAAATCTCTTATTATAATCATTTCTAATATAGTTAGCCTTGAATTATTTTAGAAATACTAAAAAGCTTTCTAAAGTGCATTTGGTTGATTAGTTAATATTTAGCCCGGCTCTCTTTAACAATATGTGATTTGGATTAGTATTTGTCGTCTTTTAAAGCATATATCAAATTCCTCTTCCTAACCGAGCGCTTGTACGACATTTTTTTTTTTAAGGCGAACATTACTTTCAATAAACTGCCCCAGAGTAGAAAAAAAAAATTGAAAAAAATTACAAGTAGAAAGAAGAATGGAACTGGCCAGTTGCCAACATGGATGGCAAAGTTGGGGGTTAGGTGCCAAAGGGACAGCAGCAGGCAAGGGGCAGCGGGCAGCGAGTGCAAAGAGGCGCTCAAATGGGGTTGTCAGTATTTAACCCAAAAGGGTGGAGGTGCTGCCTGGCTGCGCGAACTCTGCGCAGAGCCACGACCACAACAATGCATTGCCAAAGAAGCTGTGTCAGAGGGGGCAGGTTGAGAGAGGTGGCAGGGGGACTGTTCACAGTGCACACGAGTAACATACGAGCCACTAACAAGAGGTGCCGAGAACCAAGAGATTAGGTTCAAAGGCAGGACACTAAAAAAAGCCAGCTACAGGACGTGTTAAACCCCCCATCGCCCCTTCCCACTGACTAAGCGGCAGCATCTGAAATCCAATTGAATTAGACTTTAATGGGCGCCAGAGAGAGACATCTAGCGGTGTTAATAAAAAGCAAACTCAACATTTTTAGCTGCTGCCACTTTTTTTTTGCTGGTCTTCTTCTGCTATTTTTTTTTTTTGCTTTTCAAAGAGCGCCAACAAAAAACAAATTCCGATACAGTTAATGATAAGCCAGCCGCGGCGCTTTAGCGCGTGCAAGCGAGACAGCCGCGCTGGCAGCGTGAGCGAGACGCACTATCGAAGGCGTTGCCAGGCTGTCTCGCATTGAGTGAGTGCAATTGAGTGTGTGAGCGTACGTGCGTGTGCGTGTGTGAGAGAGTGACTCAACGAAACTTGACGAAACTTGACTGAGTGAGTGTGCTGCTGCCGCTTATTGGAAACACATAGCAAGCACTTCGAATTGGCACTCGACTTATTAGCAGCTGCCTGCGCCCTGCCCACCGCCGCCGACCCCTCAACCAAATGCACTCCACCTCGCTGATCATCCAATTGTACGTTTGCTCCGCATGCCCTACCCCAAAAATAAAAAAATCAGACAATTGTGGGCTGAGGGGTTGGCCCCTGTTTGGCCTCTCAACTGGGTCGACAATATTTTCAATATTTTTGCTGCAGCTTCCTAGGCTCCCCCTCCACCCACCACCCTACCCCACTTCCCAGCAGCTAAAGTTCGCGTGCCTTCAAATTGTTTAGGCCTCAACGCATTTAAATTTTTGTTTCAATTTCTACGCTCTTTGCGTGCAAATTGCTGCAAAATGCTAATTCGACAATGTTGTAGAAGAAAATAAAATATATTTATGTTGGCGTTTCTAATTGTGCAGCTTTTACCATGCCAAATGCAAGACTTGGTCAGGTGTGGGCCACAACGTGCCACATGTGGCATCGCTTTGCCGTCTCGTTAAAATCAAATTAAATTATGATTTCATGTTTTGGCACTTTTCAAGTGTATCGAATTGCATGTCGCGACACGTAGCTGGTGTCTAATAAGACCGCGCCTGCCTTATCCAATTAGCATAAGATATTATTCTAATTTTATTAAGACTCAAGCAGTCAATGGGCTTCACTTGGAGCACCCCGACGTTAGAGTAAATGGGGGGAAATTTAAGTAGAACTAACATGAAAAAATAGTTGAGGGAAACAAAAACATTGTGTTTATTTGAGTATAAGCTAAAGAAGTGCCTGAATTTGAGAATTTAGCATAAAGAAACTTAAGGGAACTCAGGAAATCTAAACTACCATTTAAATATATAGTTCTAGAAGGTCTATAATATAATAAAACAGCTATGTAGCATATTTCAGCAAGCAGATAAGGCTTAAAGTAGTATAACATCGATTTTTGGTTCGAATAGAGAGTAAGAGGCAGCATTATTGAACTCTTCAATTGTCAAAAACTCAAGAAAACTGAGTTCTTATTAAAATAACCAATCAAGGCTTGATTTATTAAAGAGCAGAGCGTATAGATACCAAATTTGCCAAAGATTTGCTCATTATTTAAGCAGTTATGCTAAATTTTAAATATATATGAATTTTTCGATTAAAAAGTAATGGTTTCAAATTTACTATATGAAAATATAGTAGAGCTCTAAAATTTTTTATTAAATACACTTATTAAAAACTATTATATAAGAGTAACTGTAATATTCAAAATCTTGATATGGGAATAATATTTCACAGAAATTATAAGACTAAAACCTTATTTAATTTGTAATTTATTCAATAAAAAAATAAAATTATATATCAAATGCTTTAAACCCTACGTAAATGATTCAGTACTTTTTTTTTAATCAAATACTTTAAATTCTATTCGATTTAACATCAATTGTAAATTCACACATTATATTTTGCTCCATAAAATTTAAGGAGAAACTTCGCACTACCCAGAGTTTTTAGTTTGCATAGCTTATCTGTGGGCACAGCCAATGGCAGTCGGCTTTAAGAGTATATACGCATGCATATCTCACAGATCGGCCATTACTTTAAAGCAGACCAAAGATAAGCACACACAATTTTGTCAGCAAAGGAAGAAAAAGCTCCCGAGAAAGAAAATATGGAGCACAACGCACTTTAAGCAGCCAACCAGAAAACCTTACAAGTCAAAATATATATAAATTTTTTTTTCTAGGTAGGTGGAGCTCATTTTAAAGTAGCCGAAAAAGTGGTTTTTGGGTGCAGTTAGATAAGAAACTTAACGGTAAGTCAACTAACAGATGCGCCAACTAAAAAACTAATAAGAGAAAAAAAAGAAGCAGCAAAACAAAATCCGAGCAGAAACAAGTTCTTGTTGGACGCCCAACGGAATCCAATGAGCGCGAGAGCCAGCCAACTTTTCACTCACAGAGCGGCAGAGTGAGGGCGAGAGAGAGAGAGAGAGAGAGAGAGAGAGAGAGAGAGCGCGTGCATGCAAATGTAGCTGTAAAGTTAGCTACTGCTGCTGCTGCTATTGCTGGTGGTGGTGGTGGTGGTGAGTCCGCGTGAGCAAATCAGCCAAACGCATCGAAGGTCTTGCCCCGCCACCAAAGAGAGCCAAAGCGCGCGTGTGTGTGTGTGTGCGAGTGCGAGCGGCGATTTTCACTCAAACGCGATATGGGCCATTGCAATGCTGTGGGTGTGAGCGGTGCAGCAATAGCGCCGCGGCAACCGGGGTGCAGCTGTATCTGTATCTGTATCTTTGGCCGTGTGTATCTACGCGAGTGGTGGAATGAGAGAGATTTGTGTGATGTGTCGTTAGGTCGAAACGGTCGAGTCGGGTCGGGTCGTGTACCTTTTGCCACGAATGTTTTGCCAGTCAGGCTCTAAAAGGCCTTACGAGAACAGCTGAGATTTCGCTGCTCGCATGACGCGCATTTTCCACAAAGATAGAAAAAATTTTTAAATTTTCTTTGAAAACCAAAAAGAATACATATATAAAATTTTCTACATCAAAGTGACAGCGCAAAGGCGAGCAATGAAAAAATAAATACAAATTTTATCAAGTCGCAAATTATTAAATGCGTGCGTGTGCAACAAATTAAATTAAAAATATTTTGAAATAATTAAAAATAAAAGAAGAAATAAACGCGCCACAAGCGAAATTTAAAAACCACAAAAGTGTTTTTCGTGCTGTGTGTAAAATGTGCAAAGCAGAAATAAAATAAAATTATTAAAAAAAAATATTTATTATAAATTAAACAAAAAATAAATTTTAAGAAAAAATATTTTAAGCAAATACTTTGCCAAAAAGTGTGAAAGCAAAAAAAATTAAAAAAAATATTTTGGAAAATATTTTGAGAAATTTTTGAAGCAGTCTTTTGGTGACTTTTCTGCGTATTGTGCGTGGAGCCCGTGCAAAGTGTATTCCAGCGGTTATTCCACGTGTTCCGATCCGGCCGCCAAAATTATTACGCACAATTCCCTGAGCGTGTACGGTGGCGGCGTCATGTGCGCCTCACCGTCCACAGCTCCCGCCTTCTTCAATCCGCGGCCGCAGTCCGGCGCCGAGCTGTCCGCCTTCGATCTGGGCCTGTCGCGCTCCATGTCGCTGGGCGTGCCGCCGCACAGCGCCTGGCATGATCCCAACTTGGGCGGCCATCTGCATGCCTCGGCCGGACCCGGCTCGCTGGCGGGCACCAACACAAGCAGTGGCGGCGGCGGCGGGGGTGGCACAACGCCCAGCAGCGTGGCCAGCCAACAGTCAGCGGGCATCAAACAGGATCTGTCCGGACTAAGCACCTCCACGGCGAACCTTAACCAAAGCGCGCATCATGTCATCAAGGAGGATCTCTCCAGTTTGCCCAGCGCCAACGGCGGCTCCACATCCGCACATCACACAAGCGCCGCACAATCCGGCCATGGCGCGGATCTGGTGCCCATCATCAAGGGCTCCCAGTCGGCCAGCTGCTTGGGCGGCTCGGCGGGCGGCAATGGTGGCAGCACCACGCCCAGCTCCCAGGCCAACAGCTCCCACTCGCAGAGCAGCAATAGCGGCTCCCAGATTGACTCCAAACAGAACATCGAGTGCGTCGTCTGCGGCGACAAGAGTTCCGGCAAGCACTACGGACAATTTACCTGTGAAGGTGAGTACAGCAGAGGGGTTGTGCTTTGTAATCTTATAAGACTGCAATTGGAAGTTAATCTGAAGAGATCGCCAGTTGATTTCAATTGTAGCTTCTTCGGCTTTGTAGCCGTGTGTATTTTTGTATCTTTATATCTGCATGGATGACCAAACAGAAATGTTGACTTTGAGTTCAAATAGTTTTACAGGCAGAACTCAGAAACTACTCAAAAGCGTGCTGATCTTGACAGTTACTGTGAATTATGGCAGTTTGATGAGTTGGCAATAAAATTCGGTGATGTATGGCAAGTTGTCTAAGGTGGGTGTGCGAGTGTGTTTGTGTGTGTGTGTGTTGCAAATATGCAGGGAGTTAGGCGTTAAGATTGACAGCATCTTTGAGATACTTTGCTAAGTGCGAACAAAAACATACAGTATATACAGCTGAAGTGCAACCAGCCTATAAAATGTGCTCTTAGAGAAAATCAAGCAAAATGTAGCTCTTAGCTCTTGCCTTAAAGATACTTTTGTATCGGCTAACTCAGATTCAGATACAATTGTATCTTACTATCTGACCCCTAATTGAACTCTAAATTTCGTTTGCTTTACCGAATATTTACGTTAGATGAAATATATGTAGATGATTTAAAATCACCGAAACCTAATTTACTTGAACTAAATCCGTAAAAGATACTTTTGTATCTTAACAGCAGCTTAAAGTTGCCCTACTTCGGTATTAGTCAGTCACTACTGTACCTTTAAAATCCTAATTGCAAAATAAGTAACTGCTTTTTTTACTTAAAAACTACAAAGATACTTTTGACTATTATCAAAAGATACTTTTAGGCTGCTTCGATTTTTAAGACATTTTTGCTTCTACTAAAAACATTTCACAATATTTATGCATCTCAATTCCAGCTTACTTTTCACTTAATAATTTTCACTAATCGTTTGTCAGATACTTTTGTGTCTGAGATGCAATTCTAATCTTTGCTGCATTTTGCCACAGATACTTTTGTATCTTAAGCTAAGAATCAATTCTCAGCTACTTTTGCCTTATCCAGCTTTTACTGTAGTTTCCTACGAAAAGTCGCACAAATCAAAATTCGCGCTCTCAACCAAATCTGCATGAGATACTTTTGTATCTATGTAGCTGCAGACACAATTTCAAATCTGAGCTACTTTTGCATATGAAATTTTTCGCAGAAAATCTCAAAAAGTGCCGGCACTTATGTAACGCACTTACACAGATACTTTTGCCGCCACGGTCTGGTCAAAACGCCGTTACAGCTGCGTTCCGAAGCCCGCCCCGGCGCACGCACCCGCCACGTCTCCTCGACTCGCTTATCGCCAGATAAAAGAGTGGAAATAAAAAAAAATAAAAAAAGAATTATTATTATCTAAATAAAATACGGTGCGCTTTTGTACCAAGCCAAACAATTGTTGTGCAAACATGCAAATTGTGCGGCTGCGGCCGCTAAATGAAGCGCCCACCTTTTTATTGTCTTAGACCTGGCCGAGAGACCAGCTGGTAGACGGAAGAGGGTGAGGGCGAGGGTGGCGGGGCGGAGCTGAAGTACTTCAGCGTTGAGGTAGAAAAAAAAGAAAAACTGCATTCATGAGTTTAGATTAACGCTGCACGCAGCGGCTCTGCCATTTAGTAGAACGCCAAGTTGAAGTTGTCATATTCGTATCTCTTCAAATGTTCTGCTTTTAGTCAGAGAGAAATTACAGCTGCAGAGCGTATCTATGCGCACAGTGGTTGCAGTTATAGAAAAGTGAGAGAACAATTAGGAACTTTTGAAAATTTGACTTAAAAATATTTTTAATACTCAATTTTGTTTGAACCAGCCAAACAAATAATTATAACAAGGAAAGGTCGCTAAATCCAACATTTAATAAATAATCTATATAAATGTATTTCAAAGATGTATGAGGCATTTAAAAAGAAAGATTTTCCCATTAATTTTAAGTAAATGATATTTCCCTTTAATTATTCAAATTTATTCTTATATATTTCTTTTTATATAATAATTTCTGGCTCCTTTTCTTATATAAAAAAGTTGGAAACTAAAAGAAAATTGTATTTAACATTATTTCCCGGGTTAGTTTTTAGCTGCCTATTAATTATTTAAGAAAATCAAGATTAAAGGGCTTCTCTTTCCAAAATAACATTCATATATGTAAATATATATTTTATATTATATAAATATATATTTTATATTATATAAATATATATTTTATATTTATATATAACTTGCTGCCATTCCCTTTATTTGTTCTTATCAATGCCAAATAGCAAAAAGTATCTTACAGATACAAAGCGTACCTCTTACCACTGTACGTTGGCGGTTCGCAATGCATTGTAGGCGCTTTTATTATTATTAATCACCCAGCATTTTGTACGCATGCGCAGCAACAATAACAACAACTAGAATGCAACAACAACAACAACAATCGAAATATGTGGCTCGGTGACCGCCTCGCTGCGTTCTGAAGGTGTTTTCTGCAACTCGCCACCCGCCGCTAGCCGCTTGCCGCATGCCGCATGTAGCTCACAGATACATGTATCTGTTGTTGTTGTTGTGTATCTTTTGGGGGCAGCGGTTGCTGCTGCTGCTGCTGCTGCTGATGATGTTGCCACGATAGCAATCTATTTTGTTCTATGCCCGTCGTAGTCTCAAGTCTCGCGTCTCAAGTTGAGGCACACACAAAAATGTTTTTCAAAATAAATAGTAAAGCGCTTAGGCGCATATCATTGCCAGTTATGCGTTATATGCTCTACCTCCCTCTCCCTCTCTCTCTCGCTCTTTCTCTCTCTCGCTCTCCCTCTCTCTGTTTTTTGAGAATCGCTTTGGCACCAAAATGCCATAATGTGCGCCGTTGCGTCCTTTCAGCTGATTCACTTCCAAGCTGAGATACACGTACTTGCAGATACTTGCCACAACTCGTTTTCTTGCCCGCGCTGCTGTCTCACTTGTCTGTCTGTCTATCTGGCGGTCTGTCTGTCTGTCTCTCAGTTCGCTGCCTGTCGGCGCTGTCTGCCAGCTCTGTCCAGTCGCAGGGCGCAGTATGTGAAATTTATTCCAAAAGGCAGCCCCCTCCACAACGCCGCGTACTCTAAGATTAATTGTAGCTTATGCGTGCATATTTGTGTGTGTGTGTGTGTGTGTGTGTGTGTAGAGTATCTGTGCCTTGAACCTTAACCCCTTACCCCTCCGGGCTGTGTCCATTGTATTAGCAACTTGTTTGATTTCGCACACAGCTGTTCGACCAAACTGTTTCTTCTAATTTGTAGGTGAAATTGGACGAATCGAGTACTATTCAGAATATATTCATATATATTTATAAAAAAAAGATAAATGTTGTCTCTCAACATTTGGGAACTGCAGCCACAAATTCTGCCGCCTAACCTTTTGGCTAAAAGTCACGGTTCAGGCTGCTGACTGAAAAATGTGCGCTGATATCAGCCGCCTGATAATATTAATGATGAGTGCATGCCTCTAATGTGCCAGACCAGCTAGAAAAACAACAACAAGAAGAACAACAACAACTGCTGCAACCACGTAGTGTTCCCTCGCCTATTAATTTAGCTATTTGTCATGGCTATTAGTAGGCAATACTTGAGGTTTTCACAGTCTTCATACGCTCTTCATTTATGCGACTTTTTATAGCCAATACCCATTGAAATTGGCTGAGAGGGTATCATGACTTTGTGCTAATGAATGCAATAGGCAGAAGGCAACATCTATGAGCTTACGAAGTATTTATATTATAAATATTTAAAAATTTTAAGAGGTATGTCCTTGGGGTTTGGTATATAATCCCCCAAGCATTCCATATTAAAGCCCTCCAAATTTCATAAAGATCGAAGTTACTAAAGAACGCATTTCCCAAATATAGTGTGGAGGTTGAAAGAAGAAGAAGCAAAACGCTCGTGAGTGCGTGTATGTTTTCACCTTGTTCAGGGTATCTTCTGGTCGCGCACTCCCATGTGGCGCACTCTCTATACGCTTTGATATAGCTGCCAGCAGCTTTCCAAGAACTGTGCGTTTTTCCATTTTCCACACCTTTTTGCATTGCAAATGTTGCTGCGTTTATTTATTGCATGAAAAGTTATCTTAGCGCCCATGTCAAAAGCTAATTAAGTTGATTTATCTGCTGCCCCACATGAAAATGACAAATAAATTTTATGAAAAATTGCTGCAACAACTAAGTAGCAGGCATGCAATTAATTAAATGCCACATAAACATAAACTAGCACAAAGGAAAAGCCTTTGGAAAATGCAGTGGAAAATTCATAGATATAAAATAATAAAAGCAGACCTGGCCTGGCGCCTCTGAAGAAAATTGCCAGCTTGTCTAATTGTTAAGCGCGAGCGGCGCGCATTAGCTCTGTGCGAATGTATCTCAAAGATACACAGATACTTTGTCAACCTGATAGAGTAGGCCGACGCAGTGCATTAACATTTTGCACAGTGCATTAAACAACAAAAATAAAAAATAAAAATGAAGGAAGTTTTGATGTCAACCCATTTAAATAGTTTCCCACGTTGCCGCAATTAAAGCGCAGCCCAAACTCAAGAATTCATATGCCGAACCGCACGTTGGTCAAGCCAAGCGGAGGTTCGTGTTCCATGTTAAAGCCCCCCTCCCAAGAAAAAAAAACAAAATTTTGATGTTGACAATGTCACAGTTTGCTTTATGCTTGTCCATAGTCATCATTGTGTGTCTGTGTCGTGTATCTTTGTTTCTTCTACTTCATTTTTTATGGAGGGGTTTCCTTTTGAAGAAATTTGCTGAACAACATGTGTGGCTTTTTAATTCACTTCATTATGATGTAGGCAAATAAAGCATTTAACGCAAATTTCTCTTCTCTTCATGCGAACTAATTTGTAAATTGCAGTCAGAAAATCAAAAAAAAAAATTCTCAAAGTTCTTGTAGAAAAGTTGCCGAAATACAAATTATTACGGAGTCTTTGTAGTTTTTCAAATTCACCCTTGAAATACTTTAAACTCGTCTTT